CCGTCTCCGTCATCGATCTACTCTGTTTCCTTCGTCTTCTCCGGATTAGGATTCGTCTATCCGTTTTGTCTCATTTTTTTGTAGCTTCCGACGATTGTTAGATCTACGGGGCTGATGATCGTGCGTATCTTTAATTTACGATTGATTTTTTTTTTTTTGGTTTTCAGTGAGGGAGAATGTTGGGGATCTTAAGGCAAAAAGCCGTCGATGGAGCCTTGTCTGCTTCGGTAAGGGAGGCTTTACTCATTTGCTGCTTATATCTGTTTGTTTCAGTGTGGATACGATTTCGTGGAGTCTCTGGGATCGGATTGATATTTTTTTTCTTTGGCAATTGTGTGGTTTCGAAAATGGATTTTACCAGACTTTCAGAAGGACGCGATCCGCATTGGTTTCCGCAAGGAGCTATGCAGCTGGTTCTAAAGAGGTAATGTCTTTTATCGAATTCAGATGCCTTTATCCTGTCTTGTGAAGGTTTTTTGTTGTGTCGTCTTAGTCCGGTTGTCTCTGGAAAACTCTTGTTTTCCAGTTGTTTATGAGCAGCTAGGGAAGACAACTTGGTTAGTTTAGAATGACAAGGGTTGATAGTTTCTGCCAAAGTACATGAAGATCACTTTTATATTTCCTTTAGATGATGGCTGAATTGTCTCTTCTGCAGACTATATCGCTTTCGTTTTTCTTGTGTTCACCGGAAAACTGTGTTTAGTTAGCGATAGTCATTGTATTGACGTAGCAAATTGTACGTATTTGGCTTTGTAAACTGTGAGCATCCAAGAAAAGCAGCAATAGATAGTCACGGAACAGATCTTAGTGACTCTTGCCTTTTTCTCATTGGCTCTGTTGAAAATGTTGGATTTTAGAGGACTCACATCGCTGCTATAATTTAAAAAGTAACATAGTAGCATTTTAGATTCCCAATATATGTAGCTTTAATACAATTTTATGTACACGTTTATTTCATATAGGAGCTGAGTAGCATAACAAAGCTGACGTAATCTTAAGTTTTCCTTGTTCATGGAATTTTTCAAAGTACTGTAATATCGCTTACATTTTGGTATGCAAATCCTTGTTTAGATGACAGTCAGAGATGCTCTAAATTCTGCAATTGATGAGGAAATGTCTGCAGATCCTAAAGTATTTGTCATGGGTGAAGAGGTTAGTTGCAGCTGACATCTTTGATATCATCCGGAATTTCTAATCGGATACTGGTATTTCATCTTTTATCTTATTTTTTGTAGGTTGGCCAATATCAGGGTGCCTACAAGGTTAGAATGATTGACTTTATGAAATTTGATTTTTTCCAGTTAATTTTCTCTTGTTTTTGACCCTGATCTGATACTGGACTTCTATCGTGTACTCATAGATCACTAAAGGCCTTTTGGAGAAATATGGTCCTGAAAGAGTTTACGATACCCCTATTACCGAGGTTCGGATTTCCTGTAGTGCAGTTGCAATACTTATGTCCATGTTTCTACATTGAGAGATTTCTGACAGTCATCTTTTAATCACGTTTTAGGCTGGATTTACTGGAATTGGAGTTGGTGCCGCCTACGCTGGCTTAAAGCCTGTTGTAGAATTTATGACGTTTAACTTTTCTATGCAGGTTAGTGTTGGTTTTTGTTCTGTTTTTAATGCTACTTTTTACCTCTTTCTTTGACCTGATTATCATCATTGTTGCATTACAGGATTGTGCACTATGGTGCATATATCTTTCTAGGCATCATAGACTTCATTTTCTTTCAGCATCTTATCATCATTGACTTGTACACGAAATTTCTATTTGCACTTCCTAACATCTATTGGATTTCTTTCAGGCAATTGATCATATCATAAACTCTGCTGCAAAGTCAAATTACATGTCTGCTGGACAGATAAATGTACCCATCGTCTTTAGAGGACCCAATGGTGCTGCTGCTGGTGTTGGGGCTCAGCATTCTCAGGTAACGCTCCCAAATTCTGTACAACTGACAATGTAAAGAAAATGAATAGTTTCTTGTTTTGCATTCTTCCAAACATACCTTCAGCTTCGGTGAAACTGATAATGATATTCAAATAGGATTAAGTAACTGCCTTTGGCTTTAATATTGATTAAGGAACTGATAATGAGACATTCGGCTGATTGATTAAGATGAAGGTTCTGAGCACAGTATCGTGCTCTTAAGTGTGGTAATGCGCACATGAATCTTTGGCTTCGTGTCTTAGATAAGGGCATAGATTGTTTCACTCTATGACTAACATGATTGATACACGCATTTGGAATCACTGTCCGTGTAGTGGTAATATTCACTGCATAACTAACATGATCAATACAAGGATTCAGGAATGATCGGTGTTTACGACTGCTTGTGACCTTGTATCTGTATCTGTATCTCCGGATGCTAAAAGGAAATACTCTGTTCTACATTTTGCAGTGCTATGCAGCATGGTACGCCTCAGTTCCTGGTTTGAAAGTTCTCACTCCATATTCAGCCGAAGATGCTCGTGGTCTTCTTAAAGCTGCCATTAGAGACCCTGACCCTGTTGTCTTCCTGGAAAACGAGTTACTGTAAGTAGTTTGCCTAATTTGAGCTTTGGTCATGTAGTTAGTTTAATGATAGCCATCAGTCGCATATTACTCATCCTAATTTTGATTCCATCATCCAGATACGGTGAATCATTTCCAATTTCAGAAGAAGCACTTGATTCAAGTTTCTGTCTGCCCATAGGCAAAGCCAAGGTACTGTCACACGATATTATTGCCTTAGTTTTTCTGTCTCTCTTTTGTTGTTTCTCCTATGTAGCAGTTTGATGCTATAATGCTGTATTGGACTAACAGATTGAACGGGAAGGAAAAGATGTAACGATAACAACTTTCTCGAAGATGGTCGGTTTCGCACTCAAGGTTTGTCCTTTCCCTACTTTCAGTACTTAAAATTGGTGCTTGCTTCTGTTTGTTCTGTGTCTGATAATTTGATTGTACCTGACTCTAGGCAGCAGAGAAACTAGCAGAAGAGGGAATAAGTGCTGAGGTATGAAATTTTCACGTTTCTGTCCCGTGATTCCGTTTAAAACCTGGTAGGTGAACTCTGAACAGCTTATGTGAATGATTTTTAGGTAATAAATCTTCGGTCAATCCGTCCACTCGACAGAGCCACCATCAATGCATCAGTGAGAAAAACAAGTAGATTGGTAACAGTTGAAGAAGGTTTCCCTCAACATGGAGTCTGTGCAGAAATCTGGTTAACTTTCATTTCCTTGACTCAAAAAAAAACCGTCTTGTTGTTTTTTCGGTATAGTATTATTATATTCAAAATTATTGATAATGTTTTCGGTTATGGATCAGTGCGTCGGTTGTAGAGGAGAGCTTTTCATACTTGGATGCACCAGTGGAGAGGATCGCAGGAGCTGATGTTCCAATGCCTTATGCAGCTAACCTAGAGAGATTGGCTCTTCCTCAGGTTTGTTTCTACCTTATTATTTGGCATCAAAACTTTGTTGTGCTCGTGTCTCGTTTTATTTAGTGACCTTGAACATTATAAATGATGCATGCAGGTAGAGGATATCGTTCGAGCAGCAAAGAGAGCTTGTTACAGATCCAAATAAAACGATGAACGTCAAGAACTACTCAACAGATTTCTTCTTCTTTGATCATTTAAAAGGAAAAGGAAAAAATAAGAAAACAAGGAGAAAAATGA